TCTGGAACCAACTTCCAAGAGAGGTGGTGCAGGCTCCTACCCTGGGGGTTTTTAAGAGGAGGTTAGATGAACACCTTGCTGGGGTCGTTTGACCCCAGTACTCTTTCCTGCCATGGCAGGGGGTCGGACTAGATGATCTGCTGAGGTCCCTTCCGACCCTAGAAACTATGAAACTATAAATGTGCAGTACCTGGTGCTACTGTGCAGTAGCACTGGTGCATGCCTTTTAAGTGACTCTAATGCACAGTAAACTAATTCTTTTCAGTAAACGGCTTTTGCCGTCATGAGCTAATTCACAGTAGAATTAGTCTACTGCACATTTAGCGTCTTGTGTAGATGCACCCAGTGAAGCCCCAGAAGTTTGTAAAAGCCTGATCATTTAAGGAGCCTCAGTCCCTCAAGGTGAAAGGCATCCTGAAATCCTATTGAATTTAACACATAATTTAGCTGAAGTATGCAGACCCTCACAGAATTGGATATTAGAATCATAGGAAAATATGGCTTTAGGAGCTCACCTAGTCTAACCTCCTGCTCAAGAAAGGATCATCCCTGCATCAGCCATTCCTGACAAATGTTTGTGTAACCCAGGGTTGTCAAACTCATGTGGGCCCTGGGCCATGGACTCCCCCCAAGCCGGATCTGTGGGGAGCCAGTGGCAGCCATGGCAGGTCCAGTGGCAGCAGCGATGGGGGTCCAGCAGTGGTGGTACAGGTCTGGGGCCACCAGGGTAAAATATATTTTATAAAAAGATTTAACTGTCATGTTAAACTGTCTGTGGAATGGTTCATTACCTTGAAATTACACCTCCTTGTTTTTATCTGTTCTTCTAATGCCTGCCAATGTGAGCTGACGTAAAAAATGTGGGGGAATCTACCATAGTTGCCAGCTCTTGTGGTTTTAATATGAATTTCAAACTTCAGCATTTTTCTTACATGCCTAGCTCCTGGAGGGTTACGATTGGGTGAGACTTTCAGCTTTGGTTTTTTAAAAAGTATTTTTCTAGCCCTTAGAGTTGCAGAGAAATAGATTGAAAATGTGACTCAACTGTGTATTGTAGACACTCAAATAAAGACAAATAGACCACTTTTTTAAGTTTTATGATTGTCGAACAGTTGAGACTGGCAATATGGCTATTTTGGCAGGCTGGGTAATGAACATGAGCATTCTTGGAATGCTGTACACATAGCTTTCAAGATGTTATTTCCTCTCCCTTTATCCTTTGATCTCTTTCAGGTAATATAGGAGGAAACAGAAAGAAGGTCAGAGGCAAAAGATTTAGGCCACGGTCTAATTCAACTGAGTAAGTCTGACCCTCTAGCAGCAAAGCAGAAAACAGCATATAAACACATGCTGGTTTGATATACATTGGGAGTATGTTAAAGTAGATACTATAGACGTTCCATGTGGCCCATTCAGAGTATTGACTGACAGTCTGGTAAACAGTTTAACCTCTATTTTTCATTTTTTAAAATTAACTATTAATTTTCTTTTTAATATAGGCTTCTTCACAAGTGTACCCATAGCAATCCCCATTGATGGTGACACCTGGCACCATCAGAGTGGGTTTGTGTCTGCAGTAAATTACCACTGCTGACTGTATCTTGATGCAGTAGTGGAATTTTGATACCTTGTTTTCCATTCTCTGTCTTTACCCTGGGTGGAACCAATGCACTATACCCTGCTTCTCCCAGGAACACAGATTTCTATCTCTGAGTACCCAGCTAGTGATTTTAGGAAACTAATCTAACTGCTTTGGGAACATACTTACAGTTTATTTTTCTAAGTTGTCAAGTTTGAAAATAAATGACTTTTTGTAATCTTTGGAGTCAGAACAAGATATGGGTGTACCGACAAGGAGCTTTATCTAACATGCCATGAAGTTAGCCAGAGCCCCTCTATTGATGTCAGTGGGCTTTGCATGCAGTCCAATATGGGTGCAATAAAGAAATTAAGACATATATACCTTAATTTAAATATATTATCAATGGAGTACATCTGTAAAACTCTCATCTGTAAAAGCTCCACAGATACATTTACAAAATTATTTAAATTGGTTGTTCAATATATTGAAAAGCCCTGTATTTGCTATTTACCTGAAATATCCTTTTTAAGCTTAACCTCCTTAGTCAGACCATGCTATATGAATGAATGATGAATGCTTGGAAATATAACCTTTCAACTTGTCAAGCATTTCCCACTGGGTTTCTCTTAATGCTGTAGTACCACTAAAGAATTTGCACTTCTCTGTCAGTGATGGTAGTGATTATTCCTCCTCTCCATATTGCCAGCACTAATGTTTGCACCCTTATTGGATTTGGTAACATCCCTTCTGGAAATGAATAGGGATAATTCCTCTCTGTACCCTGCCTTTTCCTGCTCAAGGATTACTCTAAAACCCAAGTCTTCCAAATTCATTATAGTGTTCTTAAATATGTCGGTTTACATAAAGGTTCATGTAGGAGATCTCTGTTACAAATTATAGAAAATATAGCTTGATGTACAAAAGTAGTTAATATACTGCATGGTCAAGAATGGCAACATTAAACTAGTAGTAATAGTCCCAGATTCCTCAGAGTTTATCTTTTAATCTTTTAAGTGACTAGCACTCCTGTGCTTCTCGTCTCAGTGCTGATAAACTCTAGTTGGAAGGTTGTTGTTCTGGTTCTTTTTGGTTGTCTTTACTTGCATGAGACAATTTGATAAGAGCAAAACTAGCTTCTTAATGAAAGTGCTCAGAGTACAGATGGGATAGAAAGCCCTTCTGTAGAAACTTGTTTTGGGCTCTCTCTTGTTTTCTAATTATACTTTTTTAAAGCAGGCTTAGAAACCTCAGTGCCAAATTCAGGCCTCACATACCTCTTATTCGATGGAGCTGTGCTTGGTTACACCATGGCTGAAATTGGCCTATAAAAATGAAACCAAGTAAACCTTTTTTGTTTACTTTAGGATCAACCCAGCCATGTGGGAATGCTAAAGAGTAGGAAGAGAGGGTCAAAATTAATTTAACTCCTCTTCTGTTTATATCATTTTTCCTTACTGTAACCTAGAATTTCTTTCCTATCTAATTCTCTCCTTTCCTCCTTGCTGCTTATTCTGTTATAAACAAAGATGGTAACAGCAAAGAGGCTGATGCTGAAGAGAGAAGACTCAGATTGCTGCTGCAGACGGCAAAACAGCGGTCTATGGAGGGGTGGATATCATCCCTATTTCTGAAAGACACCTGCCAGCCTAAGTGGGCTAGAGAGACATCCTTTCTTTTGGTGTCTCTGGGGATGGGGGGAAAGATGACTGTGAAGCCAACCTCTAAGAGTTTGCTCTACAGGGAGATCAGCCATCATGTGAATAGGTTTCACAGGAATGAAACTGGATCCTCTACATGCAGCACTTCTTCAGTCAGTGGGGAGAAGAGAGAATTATATGGGGGCACACAAAGTTTGATTAGAAATATGAAAACAAACCTTGAAAAAAAAAAGACCAGGTATGATTTGTTACTAATTGTGACCAACATTTCCAGAAAGCCACTTTATTAACTTCGTTAACTTCCCTAGTAAGTGAAGAATCTAAATAGTCTGTTCTGAAGCAAAATACAGCATTTGGAATACTTTCCTGTGTCCAGTAGGAGTTGAATTGTGCATGCAACTGAAAAAGAAGAAGGTGCTATGCTATAGTCTCCTGCTAGAAAACAAGAGACACTGTAAATTGACTGTTAGAATATTCATGAGCCTAATTTGAGCAATATTCTGGATGTGTGCATAATTCAAGTATTTACACATGCAGTTACACAGTTAATTAGTCTCTTCTAAATTTTTGAAGCATTGAAGAGGGTTTCAACCATGTGGCTCTCGTTAATATCCAGGAAAGGGGCACAGCATACATCTCAGGCAACTCCTGACAAATGTCCTGGTCAGTATTTGTGTGTGCCATAGTATGTAGCAGATTGCTCATGGTTGATGTAAGGCTGCTGCTAAATGTCACAGCTCCCTGGGGACTCTAATAGCTATTTTTGTAAGGCTTTAATTGTTTGCAGATTAGTCAAAAAACACTTGGAGTTTTCATTTCTTTAATATAATCAGCTGGTTCAACACCAGACAATGCCAGTTTGATTAAGTGGTCTGATAGTCATAGCTTTCTGTTAAAATCAGTACTTATGATCCAAGAAAGGTAATGCAGACCTTTTGAATATCTTGACAATTAAAATGGAGACATGTGTTAAAGCATGTCTTAGTAAGATGTGTTTTGCCAATTAGCAATATTGGTTTTCTTTGTTAATTGATGTTACTTTTCCTCTAAGCGTGCATCTTCCTTATTGTTGATGTAAACTTTTTGGCTTAGATTTTCTATTATATATTGTGTTTTTGCAGCAGGGTAACCCATGCATCTGAGCCTGGGCTTTCTCTCGCCCACCATATCCCGACTCAAGGCATAAGCCAAGGGGGTTCTCCTCTCCCCCATTCAGGGAGTCGGGATCACAGGTCAGTTTCACCTGCCCCTGCATTCTGGGCTGCCATTTTATCCCATGAAAAGTCCCTTCCCTGAGTATTCAGTAGTATCACTGTGGCAAAACACCTTTGACTGCTTGGAGGTGCTCCTGCTAATGCAGCGCTAGCTAAACCCTCCTCCTTGCCAGCCTGAGGAGTAAGATCACTCTTGAACCCAGGTCGTTCGCATTATTGCATGTTGCGCTACCAGCCAAATCAAGCCATTGGTCTAGTTTTCAGACTTAAACCTAAAGGATGATTTTGTTTCAAATGAGAATTTATTATTCAAAGCATATATGGATTCCAGTAATGATGGATAAACAAATGACCACAAATAGCAATCTGAGATCTTTCTTATGATACCATTCAGTGGTCTGCTGAGATGAGATGTAAATCTTTCAATAGTAAATACATTGGAAGGAATGGGAGTTACCTGTATGTGATCAGGCCCGGGAAGCTCACAAACTCTAGTTTGTAACAACTGCATGCTTTATTGCCACATTACATTTTGTTTTCTAATTAAAGAAGCCAGATTGGGAGTGTTTCATGGTTACCAAAAGACTCCTTCAAATAAAGTGCAGGTTAAAAGTTTTGCAGCTATGTCTGACTCCCCAGGAAATCTGTAGCCACATCAGCAATTAAAACTGCATCATAAGCATAAGCATTAGTTTCTAATGACATTGGCACCAGCCTGCTGCTTTACTAGTTCTTTCTCTGTGGCTGCACCACTGCTTTTAACTTTTACTTTTTCCTAAGGAAAGCATAAAGCACTCCTGGTTTCACTCATTTTTAAATAAGAAAGCTGATTGGAAGCAATTGTGGCTGCAGCTGAATACTTTGTGAAAGCTGTTGCTGTGCTTACGCGGGGCGGGGAGAAGAAGTTCCAGAGCAAAAAAGGAGGTCTATGGAGTCCAAAACCACTCCAGGCTTTAGCCTTCAACTTGGTTTGAAATATTGTAGTGTCATGGTTGTATTTAAAAAAATGAAGAAAACTTTACCCAACTTTACTCATCTGAGCAATCCGTTGCAGGACTTGTTCAGACATGTGGGATCAGTCCTGGAACTGTGCACATGAGTATGTGTTGGGAGAGCCAGCCATTAGGATATTAGAAGTAACTAAGAATTTGCATTTTTTTTTAATTGTCACATTTCATTACTGTTTCAGATTGTGCTGGTCCCTATTATGTAAAGGAAGTGATTAAAATAACTGAGTCAGCCTGGTGGTTGTCGTGCCAGAAATGCAGAGCTTAAATTGTGCCAAACAGATAACTCAGTTTATACATCAGCCTTTATTGTTAATGTTATAAAGGGAGTGGAGGAAAAAAAACAACAAATAAGTAAGCTTCCTATTTGGGCATTAGGAAAATCAGTTATAAAATGCCCTGAATATATTGAATACAGAATATACATATGTACTAATTCATAGAATAACTTCATGTCTTGTAATATTACTGCTAACTGTGGAATAAAATAACATTATTTCATGGTTCATTTGAAACCTGTAAGGTTAAAAATAGCTTTGTCTTTTTTTTGCTAATCAAGGTTTTCTGTTGTAAAATATGAGATCAGTTCTGCAGCCCTCCTTGCAAGCTCCCCAGATCAAACAGCACTGTTAGAGACAAGAGGTTTTTTCACATATCAGTGTAAAAACAAGCCATCTTCAGTGGCACAAATTGAGATCTTTAAATTGCTGAGGCTGAAATTCATCTGTATAGAGGGGGCCAATGAAAATCCCTACCTCTGCAAAGACTAAATTGCTGGGCTATTGTCATTCTTCCATATTTTGAAGATGTAAGAGATGCAAAGGCCTTGTGTTTACTGCTATTTATCTGTGCAGGAGTGAACTTTACTCTCAGGAAATTAAATGAAAAATGTGCCCTTAAGAATTTCCAGGTGACCTGAATTTGAGTCCTGGTGTTGTTCAAATTTTCTCATGCAGTTGTACACGTTGCCTAGTTGTCACCCAACATCCATACTGATTTATTTGCCATATTCACTTGCATTTTGGGGATGAAGACATCCTTGCTTAGCTGTGCTGTGTGTTCTCAGATTTTCTATTCTTCTTGTTCTTCTGCTTTCTCTATTCCTTCCATTGCTTTCTGCAGGTATTTAAACCCATGGTTCAAAAGAGAATATAATGTAGCTAAGTGGGTAGAAGATGTGAATAAAAACACTGAAGGACCCTACTTTAGGTATTTTGTAAATTAATTCTATATCATTTTAAGAGTTGTTCCAGCATATACAAATATGATGGGACGTCTATCTTGTATATATCAATACAAGTTACTGTAGGTGCAAAGGGCCCCTGTTCATTTGCTGCCTTTTGATGTCTGTTTTTTGGCTTCATGTGCAATTACAATTCTTTTTCTGAATGTTTTACTGAAGCCATTGAAAGGGGTGTTTGTAGTGCATGCATTCCCACCACCATCTATAGCTTGTAGTAGCTTTCTCATCATTTTATGCCAAGTAGTGTTTTATGGGCATGAGACATATCTACCACTAATAAAGTAGTTTTAACCTAAATAGAATTTAATTTACTGAAGCAAGTGGTTTCATAACACATTTATTCTACCCACTGTCTCTATAGTGCATACTAAAATTAAGTGAAAAGAAGAATAAAAAATAGTGGAATTTTACCCTAAAAATTCAATGGGGCTGAAATAATTAACTCTAATTGGAAAAGTGAGATGTATGAGAATATACTCTATGCTGTGACTTAGTGTTGCTACAAAAAATAGGGTTCTATTAAAAATGATTAGTTATTTTTAAAGGAAAAAATGTGAATGTGATACATAGCAAGATAAATAGACAAATCTACATTAGGTTAGCTTCCTTTGTGCACCTGAATCAGGACATTTGTCCGTGAAGTGGGCGTATTCTCAGTTTCATTTCCCTGCTCCTGGGATAAGAATGAGGGAGATGCAAAGACATCTTTAACAAGTTAGTGTAGTGATTCTCATCCAAAGTGCTGCATCTCGCTGGGGTGCCTTGAGACACTTTCAAGGGTGCACTTGGTGCTATAAATTGTTAGCACTGTTAGGTGTGCAAACATGATTTGTGGAATAAACCCAGAAATTTCAGCTAGGATTCCATAGTACTAGAAACATTGGGACCTGTTGTGTTTTTGCTGAGTTCTTTGTAACACAAGAATTGCTTTATTTTTATGTAGTCAAGAAATGAGTGAAAAATAAGAGCTGGCATTTTCTGGAAGGTGCCTTGAGTCCAAAAAGATTGAGAACCATTGGCCTAATATAAAGGGGTGCCTTGGGCTATGTCTAGGGAAGTAGAGTATAACTCACTATGTTTTAGCTGTGTCGTCATTTACCACCTACTAGAGGCCATGCCCAGTATAGGCCCCTTATATCAAAACAAAGTCCCCTTATGCAGGAGATAGTATCTAGGTCAATTTTTCAGCCCTTTACTCTGTCAAAGTGGCAAAAAGGGATTTTAGTATTACTCACCATGGTGTCTTGTGACCAGTGGGGTCCCCCAAGGCTCTGTCCTTGGACCCATATTGTTCAACATCTTCATTAATGATGTGGACATTGGAGTCAGGAGCGGACTGGCCAAGTTCACTGATGACACCAAACTTTGGGGCAAAGCATCCACACCAGAAGACAGGCAGGTGATCCAGGCTGACCTGGACAGGCTCAGCAAATGGGCAGATGAGAACCTGATGGTGTTTAACACTGAAAAATGCAAGGTTTTCCACCTTGGGGAAGAAAACCTGCAGCATCCTTATAGGCTCGGCAGTGCTGCGCTGGCTAGTGCTATGGAAGAAAGAGACTCGGGGATCATCATTGACCACAAGATGAACATGAGCCTGCAATGTGATGCTGTGGCTAGTAAAGGGACCAAAATGCTGGCTTGCATCCATAGATGCTTCTCAAGCAAATCCCGGGACATCATTCTCCCCTTGTACTCGGCCTTGGTGAGGCCGCAGCTGGAGTACTGCGTCCAGTTTTGGGCTCCACAATTCAAAAAGGATGTGGAGAAGCTTGAGAGAGTCCAGAGAAGAGCCACGCGCATGATCAGAGGTCAGGAAAACAGACCTTACGACGACAGGCTGAGAGCCATGGGGCTCTTTAGCCTGGAAAAGCGCAGGCTCAGGGGTGATCTGATGGCCACCTATAAGTTTATCGGGGTGACCACCAGGATCTGGGGGAACGTTTGTTCACCAGAGCGCCCCAAGGGATGACGAGGTCGAACGGTCATAAACTACTGCAAGACCGTTTCAGGCTGGACATAAGGAAGAATTTCTTTACTGTCCGAGCCCCCAAGGTCTGGAACAGCCTGCCATCGGAGGTGGTTCAAGCACCTACATTGAACACCTTCAAGAATAAATTGGATGCTTATCTTGCTGGGATCCTATGAACCCAGCGGACTTCCTGCCCTTTGGGCGGGGGGCTGGACTCGATGATCTTCTGAGGTCCCTTCCAGCCCTAATGTCTATGAAATCTATGAAACTCAGACTCTGGTTCCTAGCCTGTGTTTTCTTGTGAGAACTAGATCACAGTTTTCAGTAATACACAAGGAAGGCAAAAAGTGGACATGATCTGTGTAAATGAGGGAGCGCATATTGTTATTTGAGTTATCATACAGTGCTTTAGAAACCACTGTCTCAGTTTGGTTGGGATAACCTTTTCTGTGTTGTCAATGTTCTTGGACCTCTGCAGTATGGTACAAAGGAAGTATTAAATCAATATCAACTAAAATCATGAATAAAGGAAGTGAACTCAGAAGCCTGCCTGCCAGCCTACTGAAGTATTTTAAATAATGGATACAAGGTTCCTTTCATTAAGTCAGCTACTTATTTTGCATTTTGAAAAGCCAAAAAGATCTTTGTAGAAAAAAAGTATGTGAATTATGCTGTGAAAAAAGTACAGTGGATGCTCTTAGCTACTTAATAGCTTTAGAACTTTTATTTATTTTAGCATTAAACAATGCCTTGACCAAACTACCTTTAGATGCATGCAGCTAAATCCTAGAAAAGTCTCTTTTAATTGAAGATGTGTATCTGGTGAAAGTTTGGCTAAGAATATCTTCTTTTATATCTTTTGAAAAGAAGGTAGAGGCTATCTGTAAACTTTAAAGGAATATGATTTAGGTAGCTGAGAACCAAATTCCACAGGAAAGCACCAGGAGAAAAACAAATAAAAGTTTATATTAGTTTAGGTACAAATAACAATGACTTGATCACATTTCTTTTGAGCAAACAGAATAAAATCTAAATCTAAAGTACCTTAATATACATTAAAAAATGCTAGTTTTACAGTGCTGAAAATAATTTTTATTTATATTGTTAGTAGAAGAATTTAAACAGAAAAATGATAGTTGAGGATATTCTAATTAATTCCCCAAAAGTTGCAACCAAGAAAGATGTTGTTTTGCGGAAGAAGCAGCTTAGCATAGTGTGGAACTGGAGATACTTGTTAAAAAATAATATAACAAATGGAAGAGATGGGAATTTCACACCACACAAAGTTGAAGTTAAAAACTGTTGAAAATTGATAAGAGAAACAAAATTTACAACTGGAAATTTTTGAGTCAGGCAAAGTGTTCTGTGTGTATTAGGAAGAAAAGGGTCTTTATAATGGTTTGGGTACACTATCTGGAATAATAATGGAGAAAAGACAAATTCATTAAATTCATGTCACAGTATGTTGATGTAACACTTTAATTTCCAACAGTAATTCAGGATGATATTACACAACTGCTACTAAAATGAGACATATTTAAATCAGCAGGTCCAGGTAACTTACCCAAGAACTGACAAAGCTGGACAAAGAGCTCTCTATGTTATACATATTGATTTTCAATAACTCTTGATACTCTGAGGAAGCTCCAGAGGCTATGAAGAAACTAATGTTGAGTAAAGCTAATTTTGAGTAAAGCTAATCCTAAATCTAATCCTGGGTATTATCCAGGTTATATAGAATGACCCAGGTAATTCTGAGGCTGGCAGACTGGCATCAGGCCTAAGAAAAGTAAAAAAATCAGTCACCACAAGATTTGATTTAATAAAAGACTTAAAGGGGGAGAAATATAATCAATATCTATCAGCATGACCATATAAAAGTAGGTCTGGTTAAATTAATTTTCCTGTTTATAAACTGCCATGAAATCTACACCTCCAGTTTACATATATAACTTTTCTAAATGTTTCCTAATTGTTAACAGTTATGAAGTGTTGCCCAGCATATGGAGCTTAATCCTTCTGGCAGCTGTGGGAGATAGGACATAAACATCCCTACAGACATATGTTATTAGAAATTAGTATTTGACTGTATTACATTTACATCCACAATGTACCACGTGCTGCTCAGACATTAAGTGAATCATAATCTTTTTTCTAAAGAGCTTATATTACATGCTAAAGAACAAGTAAAGGCTGGGGCAGAAAGTTAAAATTTGCAACTGACATTTTTAAGGATAGGGGGAATCCCTATTTGTACATCCAAAATTTAACTAATTTTTTGAAGGAAGAGAGGAGAGACACTGGACAGTCCAGGGAGAGGATTCCAAACTTATGCCAGAAATAAAATGCAAAGATGTCTATTGGCAGCACAATTTAACTAAATGTTCAGGTGCACAAGAAGCTGGATATGAGTCAACAGTGTGTCCTTGTTGCCAGGAAGGCTAACGGCATACAGGGTTGCATTAGTAGGAGCATTGCCAGCAGAAGTAATTCTTCCCCTCTATTCTGCGCTGCTGAGGCTGTATCTAGAGTACTACCTGAAGGGTGGTTCAAAAGAGGTTGGAGCTAGACTGTTCTCAGTGGTGGCAGTTGACAGAACAAGGAGCCAGTGGTCTCAAGTTGCAGCAAGGGAAGATTAGGTTGGAGATTAGGAAACATTTTCTCACTAGGAGCACGGTGAAGCACTGGAATGAGTTCCCTAGAGAGGTTGTGGAATCTCTATCCTTGAAGGCCTGGATCAATAAAGCCATGGCTGGAATGATTTAGTTGGGGATGGCCCTGCTTTAAGCAGGGGGTTGGACTAGATGACCTCCTGAGTTCCCTTCCAACCCTAATTTTCTGATTTTATGTCTTTGGTAACGTAAAAGAGGTTGAGATATCCTAGAAGTGAAATGAATAATTAAAGAGGGCAGAAGAGCCAGCTAACATTGGTATTCTGTACTAAAGAATCTTTACACACTTTCTTTTAAACTGTCAGGCTGACCCTAAACATTT